GATACGTTCACGCAGACAATTTAAGCTTCTTCTTGGCAACCTATGTTGAGGTCGAAGGGGGCTCCGGACCGAGCACATGTGTTTCCTGTATCCATACAAATCCTTGCTTCCATGAGAAATTCCAAATCACTTTATGTCAACCGCCCCTCCTAGCCATGACTAGTCATTGCAGCATTTTCATTCAGGTTGGCAAATCATGTCTGGGATCACGAAGTCATATCTCCATTTTCACCCTGAGTCCGGGTCATCTCTGAAACCCAGGTTCACTCGTTCTATAGACCCATTCAGGCTCTCCTGAATCCGGTTTCCAATTCACCTCCATGTCCATCCATCAATTCATTTTCGAATCGAAGTCCTGAGTACCAATATACCGGTAACGGTCGACACCCATCAGTCCATCAACGGTTCGAACTTTCTTCAGAGAACGTTGCCACTTCAAGATTTTCTTCGTTCGACACACGTCGCCTCGCTCTCCTCTCCAACATAGCTCAAGACGCTCTCCTCCCCGGCTCGTCATCTCCTGCAGCACGGACGTATGAAGCTGCGGTCGTCCCTGTCTCAAGGAACAGATCCTGCGCCCAACACCACGCCGTCTGCCGACGCTGACACTGCGGACTCGGGCGCTGTAGTACCGTCCGCCACGGCACCTGTGGACACATCCACCGGCGTGCTTCCTCCCGCCAACTTCCTGACGCCTGCCGAGGTGGATGAAATGTGGCTGGCTGGCGTGATCTCAGGGGTTCCGACGCTGGCAGGCACTGGAATGTCCTTGGCTCCCGTTAGTTGGGTTGCGCCGCCTGTCAACGGCGGCCCCGACATTCGTCTGGTCGGTGTACCTGCGTCGATTGTCGCGATGCAAGGTGGCGCGAAGTTGTACCCCGGGCATGGTGGACTGGAGGTCCGCCTGTGCTTCGAGAGTCTAGATGCCACGGATCTCCAAGACCTCAACACGTTCATGGGCGGAGACGTTGCAGACTGTTTACCGACGTTGCGTCAACACGTCGCGCCTGTCTCCCTCGCCGCGGAGGTGAACTCTATCGCTGGTCAGCGCGAGTTAGTTGCGCTGTTGGGCCAGTTCCCGTTGGATCGCCTGGTGGAGAGGATGATCAACTTGTTGTCCTTCATCCGCCGGCTCTTGGCAAAGATTCTTCATCTCCTGCCGGCTTCGGAAGCCGAGGGTAGCAGCACGCTGTCGTCTGAGACCCTAGCGGCTCGTGAGAACTTCGAAGTCATGCGTCGTGAGTGGACTGCCATTTGTCGACATTGGGACCAACGCGTGCGAACTCTTAAGCAGGATCGTATCGACGGCAAAGATTTACTGCACCAAGGTCATCGCAACGCTGAATTCCACCACCAAGCGCGTATTCGGGTGCTGACAGACCAAGTCGCTCAGCTCCAGGCACAACTAAGTGACTATGATGCCGCTCGCCAAACAGCTGAGGGACGTGATGCGGAACGTACCTTGGACGTGAACGCCCTCGTGGGGTAATCAGCCGAAGATCAACGTGATGTTCAACTGGATGCGCCTCGCGGCGCTCCTTCATCACTTCGCTGAGGGCACTCCTATCCCAGAAGGATGGCCACGACTCTTAATGTGGTTGCCTTGGACGACCCACGCTGCGAGTGTCCTGAGTACGCGAAACCATCTCCGAGGGCCGGCAATGGTTACTCGTCTTCGGGTTCTTCAGGTTCAAGACGTCCTAGTGTCCCCTACCTGTCGCCTCCTGCACGGAACAAGATGGCTTCGACGTCTGGGTCGCGAACTGGTAGCCAGAAACGGAAGGCGTCTGCTGCGCGAGATGCGCCTGTGTCCAAGCGTCCAGCCTTGAGTCCAGCTCGGGACCCGGGGCGTGATGTCAACTGTCAACTCCGTCCTCGGGGTTATTCGCCCCGAAATATGCTGGTATACTCGTCCAGGAACGTCCCTGACGCTCGGGGTCTGCCTGAGGTCGGTCGAGCACTTCCGGCTGGGATGCTCTAAACTGACGTCCGCGAGGATGTTCAACACCTCTTGCCGTCCGGGATGGACTTCAAGTGCGCTATGAAGTGGATCTCCGAGAGTCAAGGCATCCACCACCTTGCGCCTCGGGAGTCTATCTGTCGTATGTTGGCCCAAGTGATCCACGCGGATCAGCTGGATGAGATTCCCTGGTGTCGTTTTGTCCCAGAGGCATTCTATATCAGCGCAGAGGGGACATTACGATTACTCCAGGCTAAGCGAGAACCAACTCCTCCCTGGCATCCTCTGGGTCATTGCTTCATCAAGGTTCAGAAGCGGAAACAGTCGGCGCGAAAGACTGAGGCTCTCCAAGCCACACTCCCTGAATCTTCGGACGATGAGACCCAGGATCCATCTTACGAGTTGTCGCAGACGGAGCTGGACAAGGCTGCACGAGCCGAGGCTGCTACCGAGAATGACGAGTCGAGTGAAGAATCCGACGAAGGTGAGAAGGCGTGCAATGCCGCAGCTACAAGTCTGAGTCCTGCCAATTCTCAGGAGTCCAAGACTGGAAACTAGAGGGACAAGGGTGGTGACCCCAACAGCCACGGTGCGTCCGCGAAATCCAAGTCTCGCATCATTACCTACCCCTAGTCCAGGCCGTTTCGCGATCTGGTGGCGCTCCTCGTGAGCGCAAAATACCTACTCTCTCCATTGCCACATTCCTTCGTCGTGCCAAGGAAGAAGTTTCGTCTGAGTGCACAAGGCGTGTTCGGTCCAAGTTAGCTAACCTGGCTTATGATGACCTTCAGGAGAAACACTTGGACATTGTGGAGGCTGCATGTCGAGAGACTCACGGCTCTTATCGCATCTTTGGGATTCTGGTGAAGTTCGATCCCTGTCAACAGTCCCTTGGGTATCCTGACTTCGAGCCACACAAGCCTGACATCCACATCTTGAAGGCACGCTGGAATCTGGAGGTTTACCAGGTTCTATTTCACGTTCCTGAGCCCGTTAATGGTCGTGCCGCTCGGGATGAAGATGACGAGCTCATCTGAGCGCTCTGGACTGTAATGTCCCAAGCTTGCATCATCGTGTTCTATTTTCACGAAGTGCGTGACTTGAACTCTGAGACGCTCGACGGAGTCACGGATTACGTGGACTTCATGGCGTGTCAACGCCAAGACCTGGTGGGCAATTTTCCACTGGCTACCCATCTCTTTCTTGGCGCGAGACGCTGATGACACAGATGCTTCCCGTGACTTGTAAAACGAACGTCGCAGGGACGTCAAACGGCTTCGGCGAGGCTCTGCTCAAGCGACTATTTGCGATCCCTGGATTTCCGAAGACACTGCTCTACGAACCTGGTCTGTGGACTCTTCCTGTGTGTGCGTGCCACTGGATGCTCAAGGATCCTGAGCATTCGCCCCTTATTCGCCGTGGAGCCCCTTATTACGCTGCTCAACTTGACGACTTGGACGCGGACGATCCCGTCTGCACTCAATGGGGCGCGGCACACTGCGGTAATGACATTCCCTTCATTCATGCACTCATTTATTATGATGCCTGAACGCAGAGCCCGGAATGTGATTCACTTATCTGCGGCGTCTTAAGTGTGAACTCCTTTCGTCAGTTGCTGTCCTCCACGTACTCTGGATGTCGGAGTCACTCTCTTAAGTCTCAGGCAGTAAGCTCGTTAATACCGATCGTTTTTCACTTCTCGTTCTCCTTCCACTTGAGCAAGTATTCCCGAGAACGCTTGGAGGTCCTCGTACGTTTGATCCACCTGAGGTCCAGGATCCCTTCAACCTCATACTCATCTTGTACAGAGCCCGGCTCCCAGCTATCTTCGGGTAACAGTGCTGCGTCAAAGTCGTCGTCTTCCGAGACTTGTATCTCTGAGGTCGGTCGCTTAGGGAACAGAGCTCTCGGTTTTGAGGCGACTAATGTGGACCCACGGGTTCACACGGTAGCCTGTGTCTGGGTTTTTGAGATTGACTCTGACGTCGTCATGAATTTCGTCGATTCAGAAAGGTCCGTGCCACAGGTGAGCTAGCTTGCGGCTCAATCCCGTGCGGACTTTGGGAATATACATCCATACAGAATCACCAGCTTCGAGGCCTGCCTTTACACGATCCGAGAGTTCTCTCCACTTACGAGTATGTGCAGCAGCTCTCACACGCTTCGCCTTCTTTTCCAAGTATTCAGCGCACGCAAGGGCATAGCTATAATCCCGTTGTATCTTCCGACGCCGCTCCAAAGCTGTTCGTTCTTGGACTGTGGATGGCTTCGGACCCAGCATCGCAGATATGGTTCCTTGGGCGTCCCAACCATGGACCAGGTAGAACGGGGTGTCCAATCTTGCAGCGTCGAACGAGGTATTCAGGGCGAACATGAGACGTTCTGCATGCTTATCCCAGTCGCTCTGGTCAACCTCAGCGACATACGCTCTGACACTTCGCATTACCGTTTGGACTGAGCGTTCTTGCTGTCCCTTGGCCTGAGCCCGGTATCCTAGCGTCGCACGTTGCTTACTTTTCTGAAGGTCTCTGAATCTAGCGAAGACCTTACTCATGAAACGGGGATTCTGATCATGTCTGATCATTGAACTTGTCCCAAATATTCTGAATACGCACTCTTCGTATGCCTCAGCAACATCTTGGGCTTCTGTATTCCGCATGGGTTTGCACATGACATATCCTGAGAATTGATCTTGGAACAGCAAGAAGTATGTGTTTCCACGATCGGACTCAGGTAGCTCAGTGACAAATCCATAGAGACCACCTCGAACGGATATCTCGGTTCGATATTTCCCGGTGATGGGCCAAGGACCGGTGGTCGCCCCCTTGGTTGACGAACAATCCACACATACTCTCACGAACTTCTGTACCTCAGCGTACATCTCGATCCAGCAGAACTCTGAACGTAATCGCTCAAACGTCATGTTGATTCCTTGATGACCACCTTGAAAATCTTCGTGTGAGTAGTGTAACATGTTAGCACGTAAAGTCTCTGGGACCACCACCCTGAGTTCCGACTGTTTGTTGCGGGACCTCTCAGGAGTGGGTGTGCTCAGCCTGTAAACGACTTCTCATGAATCCAACACAAACTGATCAGAAACCTTCCCAATCTTCTTCACCTGGTTCCGTAGAAGATCTGATACGTCTCCCTTTAGGACGTTTTGCATTTGCTGGATCAACAGGTCTTCGTCTTGGTGAACCTTGATTCTGCTCCAACGTTCACCCTGGTATTCAGACTGGGCTACAGGAATCCGGGAACCTTTGTCAGCTACCGCGCGCGACCTTGTCATCACCATCAATACTTCAGTGTGGTGGCTAAATGCTCAGGTATTTCAGCTTTAGAGCTACACATCCCAAGTTCGACTTGGTCCGAGTGAACTGCATCGGTCGCAGGGGTACCTGGAATTTCTGAAGGCTTCATGATCTTTTCTGGGATTCTGGATACGAGACGTAGATGCACTATCTTATCGGGGTCCTCGAGGTCCCAGGATTCTCCAAGCACGAGAGTCTTAGAGGTCAGCTGCTTGATTAAATTCTCGTTTGACATGAATTAACTTCACATACGTAAAATTATTCCTGAGATCCTCATACTCAGCCAAGCGTCGTTGCAGGTTCGGCTGGTTGCAATTGATCAGACCCTAAGCCTGTTGGACGACGATTCGGGAATCACCGACGGTCACAAGCTCCTTGACATAATACTTCATAGCGAGATTTAACCCCAGAATCAAACCATGGTATTCAGCATCATTTCCGTCACACCTTCTAGGATGTGTCCTTCAGCCTTCACAACCTGCCACCCTGGTAGCTTCCACAGTATGCATCCACAACTTCCCCGGCGGGTAGAAACCTTTGCAGCGCCATCAAAACTCAGGACGTAGCCTTGATAATCTGCTTCCAACATTTCCAGGCTCACTGGTGGTATCATTTTCAGACGCCCCTTGGCGGGAATAAGGGTTCCTGTAGCTTCATCTAAATGTTCCATTGGAGTGATACCGGACCCAAGGATGGCTGCAAGACCGTCCTCATCTTTCTGAGTCCGATTGATTTCCTGTGTCCATCTTGATAGTTCCAGTCCCCACTTCAGATGGCGTCCATCTGCAGTGTTGGACCCTAGTAACCGCTTTAACACAGCGTAGCGCGTATACACCACAACTGTGAATTCTGATCCATGGATCAGAGATCTGAAGACTTCCAGAGTCTGCAAGATTGCGAGCACTTCCTTCTCAGCTATACGGTACCGTAGTTCTGATTCCTTCAACACTCTGCCCGTAAATCGTACTGGGTGTATGATTCTTTCATGCTCCTGACCCAAAACGGCACACGACGCCCACGGGTTAGCATGCGGAATAATCACGAAAGGCTTGGCTCTATTTGGATGCCACTGTGGTGAAGCAGGATCAGCAAACTCTGCGAAGATGCTGGATCCGGCTTGCAACCCTGTGCCCAGGCCACCGACTACAAGAGGGGGTACTCCTATTGATTCGTGATCAGCTGAACTTCCTCACCTTGTGTACCCGTCGGTAGGGCTGGATCTTGCTCCTCCGGTATCTGCAGGAGAGGTCTAAGTGTTGAAGATCTTGAATGTCTTGGGGAGACGCAGGGATGTGAGGTAACAGCGCGGAAAGTCCTCGCTCTGCTGTCGAGTAGGTTGATCCGGAAGTGAACTGTCGAACGTGGATCACCGGTGGCGGATCTTGGATCCGGCCGTTAAGTTGCCTTGGTGTGTTGGTGGTTGTTGATCTTGCGATCCCTCTGAGTTTCTTGCAGCCTCCAATGGCTGGATCTTGGGGGGAGTTGAGAGATCGAT